CTAAATCCATACGGGGCAAGGTCTCAATCAGCCGTCTTTTTTCTTCTTCTCGTGTTGAAATTAATTAGAATGAGAAAATAGCGGTCATCATAACAAACTTATTATCGATTAAATTCTCAGCCTTGACAAATCAACCCCGCATTAATTAACCGAGAGATCGAATAATGTACGTACGCAATAGCTCAGTAAGCTAGCTTTTAGCTAGTTGCTTAAATATCTGTAATAGTATATATACATTAGTTTTCAAAGTAGCTAGTGGCTGTAACCAATATTCTAGTGACTGATTAAGCCCCATTAGTACCATTGCAATGCAAGTTGACCTCTTCGTTCTTTAAGCCAGAGAGATCTATCTTAGTGTATATGTGTGTGTGACTAGAGAGATGTCAATCAACATCCCAACTAAAAAGTCTCCTCCTATCACCTTCCAATAGGACAAAACCCTTGAAAAAAATACGTATTAGAGTATTAAACCAATAGAGCAACAAACATGAAAAGTTATATTTGCATGTGGGTCAATCAACTGATTTTTACCAAATTGAGTTATTCCATACAATGAATACGATAAAAACATGAACAAAAACTAGAGCATTAACAAGGAAAGATTGCGAAAAATTGTCTATCTTTGTTTGTGGTGAAATATTCTTTTATAATGAATAACTTATATTTGCAGTCGTCGCATTGATAGTTTCACAAACAGGCTAAATTCTGAATTACTGACTATCAATCGAGTTATTAATAAATGTTCGGACATGTGATACCCAAACAGAGCACCAACTGTCTAAAGAAGGGTTGAACACACAATCTCTGGTGTGGTCATCCACTTCTTTCATTGTGGAAATATATTTAGGTGTAATCCCTAATGAATTTTTGGTTAGGGTAAGAGGAAATCGTATCTCAATTAGCGGTGAGATGACCGACCAATCAGAGGTATTAGGAATCTAAGGATAATTAATCAACAACATGTGACCCAATTGGGACTTAAATATTCATAAAAAAAAAAAAAATTGGACTTGAATATAGTTGGCGGCTGGCTGCCGCCCGGCTGCTGCTTTCTTTTATGCTTTCTAGGGATTGGTTAGTTTTATAATCATAAGAAGTTAACTAGTGATGACAACAAATCGGGTCGGCTCGGATAGTGCATATTCATTCGCTGCTCAGAAGTTTTGGTTTTTATTCATATTCATATACACATAAGAATCGAGTAAAAAAATTAAATCATATTCATACTTGATCGAGTTTTGCATATCCATAGTTATCCATTTTTTTTCATAACTTCAACAGACATGTTATTAATTATAGGTATATGTTGACATTAATAAGTGAAAAATATAACAATAAATCACTAGAACTAAGAAAATTAGTGGAAGATAATACGATTTCATGAAAATATTATATATGTATAGAAAATATCAAATTTTATGAGAAAAATAAAGACCATTTCTAGATAAAAATACATACACTTATGTATAATCAGGTGGGTTCAAGTTGGATCGTGAGAAAATCATGCCCACCAATTATACTCAACACTCGCATTTAGGTTTTACCCCATACCTACAAAAAAATGCTTTAGGTTCAGGTTTTACCCTACCCGATTAGATCAGATTCGGATGGATATCCACGAATAGGAATAGTCATTCATAAAGTTAGCATGATACTAATTAGGAATCACAATAGTACAATCATAGTTGTAGTGAATATATTTGCAATTTGCCATAATTTTTTATACAATTTTTGCATTACAATTTCGACACATAATACTACAACCTATTTTTGTTAATATAAACCGTTGCACTACTGCAGCCTGCAGCATCTCTGAGTATGGCCGTCTCATCTAATTAAAAGTTAAAATTCGTAGGATTAATGTATTTTTTTAGCTATATCTATATATTATACTAAGCCTATGTTTGGCCCGGCTTTTAGAAGTGCTTTTCGGCTTCAAAAGCTTAAGCAGGGCCAAACACCTCTAAAAGCTCGGCTTTTGAAAAGCCGAAAAGCGCTTTTGTATAACATAAAAGCAGAAGCTCCGATTTGGAGCTTCTGCGAAAAGCTGTTTTGAAAATACAAGATTATCCTTACCATATTTTAATTTTATTTCAGAAAATATAATTTTCCTTCATTTATATCATTTTAAAAATAAAATAAATTATAAAATCATATTATTTAATATAAAAGAAATCTAACAAGATCCATTTTGACTACTTTTTATTGTTTCAAATTTTTATTTATATTTTATATTATAAGTCCTTTATAGTCATTTTACACAACCGCTCATATTAAAAAGCACTTCTAATAGTTTTACAGCCAAACACTAAACTGCTTTTTTTGAAAAGTACTTATCTAAAAGCTCCAGCCAAAAGCTGCTTCTGCAAAAGCTACAGCAGGGCCAAACTAAGCTTAAACCACCAAAATGTGTGTTGTCTGACTCTGATCGTACCGCGTCTCAAAATACGGATGCGCTGACCCTAACCCTAACCCTAACCCCATTCTCCTTCTACATGAATTATCGCCCGTCCGTGTTATGTAAAAGCTGTACACGTGTATGTGGAATTCCTTTTCTCTTGCCATTTTGCGTAACCGTCAATCGTAATACTCGGGTTACTTTACTGGTGTGATTATAAATTATATAAATCAAACTAACCAAGCAATTAGGGGAGTTAATGATTAATAAAGGTTTTAATCCCGTGCATGATCATGCCTCATCCCGTTACTGGGTACGAGATATTTTTGTCCATTTCAAACATTTTGTAGAAAAAATTAAGATAAAATATTTACTGGCTCCGCGAGATCGATTCAGAACTTGATCATCTCAAAGATACTCAAAATCAGTTCTATATACTTTGAACTCAGGGCTATCATTTGTCGCGAATGGGTTAATTTGTAGGATCGTGTGGAGCATATATGCCCACATTGAGGGTGATTTTGATAGATTGAGAAGTGGATATGGGTGAGGTTGACGGTGATTTAACACCAACTTGTCATTTTTAACCATCGACTTATGGTAGCCAGATGGATGGAATGGACTAAAACAAGAAAGCTGATTGTTTAAGAATCACAATAGAAAAAGAGTTACTTCGTGCAAGAATTAGGATATATAGCCATTTGGGAGATTTATCCACCGAAAATAAAGTTTTCTAACGTGGCGAATCCCACGTTCACAAAGCACATGAGATATTCATGATTCATTAGTAGGAAACCGACCTTAACTAATAATATACGTGTTTTGGGGTGGAATGGAGAGCTATGAACTCAAACGTGCGCAATGCAGAGCACGTCAAAGATTGATAACCTTATGAGAAGTCACCTTAATATGCATATCAAGACAATTCGTGAGGGTCTGGGTCCAAAACGGACAGTAATAATGATATGATTAAAGTTTACTACAAATTAACCTTGTTGGTAAATGGAAAAACTACCGTGCAGATAGCTAGCAGAAACGGTGGTTGACATTATACAGGCAACCAAATTTAGAAACAAGAGCTTCAAAACTATGGGCTCTGAATTCAGTTGGAAAGGGAAAAGAAAGGAAGAAGAATTCAAGAATTGACTGGGCAACAACATCTGGAACCAAAAAGCAGTTCTACTTTTCTGGCCTGAATTCAATTCTTTTTTCAGGGAAGAAGAAGCCAAGCCAAGGGTCCTAACCTAACTAACACATGCCTATATCCAATTCTCATAATTGTCCATTTTCCTCATCCTTTTTTACCTATTGAAGATTTGTCACCGGTAGGACTGCAAACAAGTTGTTTACGAGCTATTCGACAATTGGGTGAGAGAAAATTCGCTAGAAATTCGAGTTGTTTAATAAATAAGTTGATCAGTTTCAGGTAAGCCTTGTTTAGTTCGTGAATCTCGTGAGTCAGTTCGACTTGGTGACTTGTTGAACACAATTTTTGAGGTGGCTCGTTTTGAGCTCATCATATAGTGTTTAGTGAGTCAACTTGACTATAGACTTATAAGGGAATTGATCTGTGTATCTGATGTTTTGGTTTGTTGATAGCTCATAGATTTGTAAAATTATACATCTAACCCCTTATGATGCTTAAGATTTTGAGCATGTGAGCAAATATGTCTCAATTATCATTTAAAAAAGGAATTATGTATCATAGATTAGGTATATACGAATTACTATGAAATAAAATAATATGAAATAGTTGACATTTATGAACTAAATAATATTATACAAATATAATCATAGAATGAGTTAATGATGAAAAATTGACTATATTATTATATTATAATTATAATTATTTTAGAATTTAGTTTAAAAGTTCAACTGTATTATAATTTACAAGTATCATACATAATATACAAATATCGATTGATTAACCGAAACATATTTGGTGCATTGCACTCACAACTCGGATGAATCTGTAAATTTTTCAAATGGTTTCCAAACACATTGTTAACTACTCATAACAATTTTCTTCCAAAAAAAAAAAACTACTCATAACAATAACAAATATTTTGCATGCACACGAAATTCAATACATAATAAGAGAACATAGTTCATCAACATTTACCTCCGGTCGTTTTCAAGTGACCGATTTCAACTGCTGGTATTTGCAGAGGAATCTCATTTCTGATTTCACACTTCGAATTTAGAAAAACTCTAAAAGATAGATGGGATAAAACTTGATCAAGAGGGCAGAAAATGGTGAAAAATGAAGAAGTGGATAGCAGTTGGCAGATAAGAGTTTTTGCCTTTCTTGTTCAGCAATACAAGGAATAGTCATAAATAGAAGCCAAAAGAAAAGAAGGCGGGTGGGTAAAAAATGGGTTATGGCGCCATGAATGAATGACTAATATCCCCGTAACAGTCCCAATCCCCAAAACACGTATTTGCTTCTGTAATGTAAAATCCCCCTTTCCTCTTTCCTTTCCGTGCTGCCTCAATGTCAACGGTCTAATTAATACTACCAATACCACCCCTTCTCTCTCTCTCTTCCTCTTTCCTTATATAAAGCCAGAGTTGCAGAGCTAGGCCCCCTCCATTCATAACTTGCTCCCAAAGCTAGCAAAACCCCCCATTGATAACCAGAAGAAGAAGATCAGCTGAAGAACCAGAGGAAGAAGATTAAGAAGAAACGAAGGAGAAAGGAAATGAAGCTGATTTGGTCCCCTGAATTGGCTACAAAAGCCTACCTCGATACTGTTAAAGCAGTAAGCCAGCCAGATTCCTTTCTGTAAGACTGAATGAATAATTGTGTTTTAGGTTTTTTTTTCCCCCTTCGATTCTGATTTCGCCTTCTTCTGGATGGCGATTTTTAATTCCTGGTTTTTTTTTGGGTTTTGACAGTGTGGGATTAGTCAGGAATCCGGCGTAGCAGAGCTGGTTTCAGCTATGGCGGCGGGCTGGAACGCGAAATTCATCGTGGAGACGTGGTCCCACGGCGGGCCGGTGGCTACCAGCATCGGGCTCGCGGTCGCCAGCCGCCACTCCGGCGGGCGCCACGTCTGCGTTGTCCCGGACGAGGATTCCAGATCGGAGTATATGCGAGCCCTGCGTCAGGCGGCGGCGACGGCGGCTGGCGGTGGGAATTCGATTGATGTCCCGGCGGGCGGTGAGGTTGTGGTCGGGGAGCCGGAGGAGGTGATGCGGGGGCTGGCCGGAATCGATTTCCTGGTGGTGGATTCGCGGCGGAAGGACTTCGCTAGGGTTTTGAGGGCAGCGAGGCTCAGCGGCAGGGGAGCGGTGCTGGTTTGCAAGAACGCTGGTTCGAAGCAGTCGGCGAGCTTTCGGTGGCGGAGCGTGATGGACGGCGGGTCGACCCGGCGGTTGGTCCGGTCGGTTTATCTGCCGGTTGGGAAGGGGCTGGATATTGCACACGTGGCGACCAGCGGGGCGGGTAATTCTTCCGGCGGCGGCGGGGGGCAGAGTAAAGGGCAGAGCCGGTGGATCAAGCATGTTGACAGAGAGTCAGGGGAGCTTCATGTCATCAGAAAGTGAAGAATTCAGACTTCTTTTCGATGAATTCCATCGGTGGGAAAAAAAAGTTACTGCTTGGAGTATGTACAGAAGTGGTGGTTAGCAAGATTACCGTAATTTCTTTCTTTTTTTTACCATTAGTTGAATTTTGCTGACCATGATCAAGTTGGCTTTGTAAATTACTGTTTTAACTTTGGGGACTAACTATGAATGAGGTGTAGTCGGCGAAACAAAAGTTGGTGATCAACTGATCATAATCAAGTTGGCTTTGTAAGATGCATTTTGCTGACCATAATCAAGTTAGTCTTTTATGAGTTTTACCATTAGATGCATTTTGTTTTATTCCCTTTTATTTCATGGATCAATTTGACTATGATGAAAGAGTTTCGAATACTGATACCTACTTGATCGTTGAATTGGAAAGATACATTTTACATTTCTAAAATCGTTTGATTGAATGAATTCTTGAATTAAACGATTGAAAAGCGATAACGACGACGTTTAAGGGTTAAGATTGTGTTTTTCAACATAATGAATTTATAGGACGATGATAAAAAGAAGTACTAGAAACTTATTAAAAATATATTCGATGGGAATGAGATGATGATAGAATCTAAATAACCACTAGAACTCGGGTCGTTTGCTTGTTGGGTATATTCATGAGACTTTTTATTTATTGTGGATTAAAATAATTATTGTTTACTCGTTGAATTCGATGGTGAATTTGATTTATAAGTATGAAACACAAATTTACATGTTTCATGTTTGAGGATCTTACGGATTTGAAATCTCCAAATCCACGTACCCACTAATTTGCTACTCGACAATCTATAATGAATTTAATTTGGGCTAAATCCATCCTCCAAATCAACAAAACAACCCAACCTAAGGTGAAAAACTGAAAATGGTAACTTAATTAGACTATTGCAATATATCGACTATAGGGTTTGCAAGCCTGCCTAGAAGAGTGCTTGCGACTACTCGACCGGTAAGCTCTGAAGGATCGGCCAAAGCAGCGAATGGGAAGGTCCATCTGGAAGAAACCCTAAAGCTGTATTTAACCCTAAAGGTTCCTTATCTGCCTCTTCCCTGGTTCTCTTCTTTTTCCCTCACGTCAGTGGCCATATTCAATCTCGCCGCTGCGCCGTCGCTATCGTGCCTCCGCCTTCCTAGTTCTGTCTATTCAGAGACCCGCTCTTCTTCTCTCCGCCAGTCTGCCTCACCTATCTGACATTAGTGTCTTCAGTGTGAGCACCTCTACCTCAGACTTGTGCTTCTGGGTTTTCTTGTGGTTTACGTCTCCTCATATTTGGTTCTGGGTCTCTGTGTTCTGCTCGGAGGTTCTGGGACTTGTGACGAAATTCCATTGTAGTTGGGCATAGAAGGTGGCTGATTCATTGCGATGGGGTTTGCTATTTCTGAGAATTTTCAGAAAGGAAGCATTTTGACGACTAACAGAAGGAGTATCTAGTCAAATGCTTATACTACCAGTTTTTTGGTTTCCCATTAGGGTTAAATATCTTGTTATTTTTGCTGGTCTTGGGAAGTGATTTTGGGACTCTGGTGTTCTTGCTATTTTGATTTCTTCTTTAATTGGTAGCCAGCTAGGAGATGATCTGGGCATGCCTTGTTCTCATGGCGAAATCGATCAGGCTAATGTGCTATAAGGATGGGTGTTTAGGATTGCTACTGTTGTGGTTTCTTGTAATTTCTGTTTCCCTTGCACTGATCCTCTGGTTGTGATGATCATAGTCTTCCAGTGTTGTGGTTGACATTCTGCTTCGGGTTCATCTCGTGTCTTTGTTTAAACTGATCATCTAACTTACTGTGAAGTGTGTTGTACATAGAACTTTGGCGCTGCTTACTTGTTTTACTCTTCCTGGAGAATGATGGACTGTGAGATAGCTGAGGATGGAGAGGTCTACATCGAGGATGCTGACATAATCGCTGAGACTACCCTTGATGATGAAGGTACTGCTTTGTGTCCCAATATCTATTGCTATTACCTGTGGGTTTTACTCTGCTTTCTTACCGGATCATGAATTATCTGCTTGCAGATCTTCCTGATTGCAGTGATGAAGACGACGAGTATGATGAACAAGCTGACTTTGATGGTATTGTTTTTGTGATGATTTGAATATTGTGGTTATAATGTTTCTTTAACTCTAAACTAAAACCCATATTATGCTTTCTTTATCAGAGGACCTGGGTGATTCAATATACAAATTTACTGGCCATACATGTAAGGGATATTGCTGTTGAGTTAAACTAACGAATAGTCATTCTGTGATCAACTATTCTGCAACCCCTCCTTGGTTGAATTTATGGCTTCTGTGATGCAATGTTTAGTACCTTTGGTGTGTAGCTGGAGTATTTGCTCTTGCATGCAGCCCGACAAATCCTTTGTTGGTAGCAACTGGAGGTGGTGATGACCGAGGATTTCTTTGGAAGATAGGACAGGGAGATTGGGGTGCTGAATTGGGAGGTATTTACAATATGCATGAATCGCTTATTAACTTTGACTGGTGTTCTCTCTTGATTCATTCTTCTGGGAGTCGTCAAATCGTAGTGTATGCATTTACATGCTCTTTATTGAATGTCTTTTTGTAATTCATTCAAGGTCATAAGGATACTGTCACTAGCATAGCATTTAGCAGTGACGGACAGTTTGTTGCTTCTGGGGGATTTGATTCTGTTGTTAATGTCTGGGATGCATCTGGAAATTTCAAATGTAAGCTTGAAGTACCTGTCCCGGATGAGAAAATGAAGAAAAAAGCACCTCCTACTGGGGGCTTTGAGGTTCGACGATTCTGTATCCCTAATCGATCGTATTCTGCATATTAATATGTGATCTAGAGATCCTGATTATGTAACTTATATTCACAGTGGGTCAGTTGGCATCCTACAGATCATGTAGTCTTGGCTGGTTCAAATGATTTCTCTTTTTTTGGTAAAACAAATGATTTCTCTGCTGGGATGTGGGGACTCAACACAGGTGCTTTCACTGAATTGTCTGGCCACAGGGGAAGTATTACCTGTGGAGATTTCACACCTGATGGTATTGGGATGTTCTTCAATGTTGTTGTTGGTTTATTTCTAAGACAACTTTCCATACATCTTTACATTAGCTGCATTTCTGAAATATTATTCCTTTCATTTGAGTGATGAAGGCAAAACCATATGCACTGGTTCCAGTGATTTGACTTTGAGAATATGGAGTTCAGAAACTGGGGATCCTATATATGTTGTAGGAGGTAACATATGCAAATTCTTCAGATTGATATTTCAGTTTGCTTATATGTTGGTCTCTTGTACTAGGACAGGCATACTGAAACTCAATTCTTTTACAAGTCAATATCCAATGATAGACATAATTGAGTGCTAGTTTAGTTAACAGCCGCAGTGGTCAATTGATTTGAATACAAGGGGTCTTGTTGCGCTTTATCTGTAACCTCTTTTCAAAGGTACCAGTTAGTTCTGGTTTGCTTACTTCTTTGAGGATGATTTTTGACTTGCTTGCATAACTTTTTTTGGTTGCAAGGCCATCCCTATCACAATAAGGGACTAACTTGCTTAGCCATCACCTCTGATTCACGTTGTGCTCTGACTGGTTCTGAGGATGGTTCTGTGAAAATTGTGAACATTAAGACTGGAAAGGTTTGGAAATTTGTGTCATGCCTAACATTATTTGTCATCCCCCCTGTTAGTGCAAAATACTTGACCTGTTTCAACATTGTTTAAGAACAGGTGGTCGGTACGTTATCACCTGGTCACTCAAAAAAAGTTAAATGCATCGGTTTGTCACGTTCACCAAGGTATGGCCAATGGAAAGATAGCTTCACACTCTGTCCCTGTGTATTGTTCCCCTCAATGGTTCTCTCTTCTAATCCAACATCCTCCTAAATGCAACGATATCCATGATCAGCTTCTTCCCTTGTGCGGCGACTGGGGGTGAAGACGAGAAACTTGTTATCTGGGATCTCGAACGTTCATCTCCTCGCAGCATATGCAACCTTGAGGTCTGCTTATACGTTACCTTTTCTCGTTACATTTTGTTTGCGATGTTGTGACCTGTCTATATCTGCTTCGTAAACCACCAATTGTAACTGGAAGGAGGGTCTGTGTTGATGCAGAGTGAAGTGACGTGCTTGACATGGATAGGCACGTCGAAGTATGTGGCTGCTGGATGTGCAGATGGGGATATAGTGATATGGGACGGTCTGTCTGGAGACAATGTGAAGACATTTAGGGGGCATAGCGAATGCATAGAGTCTTTGTCCGTGAGCTGTAATCAAGATTTTCTGGTTTCAGGATCGGCGTCGGCCTCAGGAGATGCTACTGATAGTCATGGTACTGCCAGAGTCTTTGAGATTGCAGGATTCAGATAACAAGACGCGTCTCCATTTTCCCCAATATTTAAGGACAGGATTGATGGTGTAGTTTTTTCCCACTCTAGATTTGCTGCATTCTGAGGGATTCACTGAAGGTTATTTGGGAATTTGTCCAGTTTTCTGTTATTTTTCTAATAATTTTATGTTTTACATCTTTGGAGCCTGGAGGTCCGCCATACTTGACTAGTAGGAGGTGTCAAGCTCGGGGGGTCTTGATGAGTAGAGTGTCCATGCTTGTGATGGCTTCATTGACTAGCCATCATGCTTGACACATAGGAAGATTATTATTCAATTTAAATCAATTTATTTAACTAACCATTCCCATTGGTCTCTTCCAAAACGTGTTTCAATTTTGTATTCGATTATTGAGAAAATTATAGGTTTCCAAGCAATAGATTTGGATTCACTAATCAACGTGAAAGATACGTCACACTCTAAATGACGTCTGGGGTTCAGGTACTTCGCACTTATCTCTAGCGTGCCTCATTTCATTTTGCATCAAGAAACGTATAATGGAGCTGTTCATGTTATGACAAAAAAAACTTTTTTTCCGTTGGATGTCTCTTGTTCGAGAATGAAAGAGAGAGGGGAAAGGCCGAAGGGTCAGAAACCAACGACCATGGCATGATTAATTACGGCGCCAAGATACCAGGTGGTCGTGCTTGAGTAACAAAAACAAGAAGAGGAGAGGAAAGGAAGAGAGTAATAGGAATTTGAAAATTGTAAATCTGTAAAATAATGAAGGGAAAAAAAAAGTCACTCCCATACTACATGGTCAAAAGTCAAAACACATTATCCAAACTACACATCTCAACAAAACATATAGGGTCGTTTGCTTTGTAGATTTGAAAAATGAAAGTTTTGGTAAAACTTGGGTTTTGTAAAACCATGAATATATGAGGGTTTTGGGTTCATCATGGACTTGAAAATACCATTGTTTGTTTTATAGATTTCATGATGAAATTGGTTAATTAGATTTGTATGGATGAAGTGAAATTTACCTTTATTGTCCTCATTGGTATGAGAAGTGAAATGAAATAGGAGGGGTAATTTGGTTTTATTTGATGGATCAATTCTCATATAAATAGGTGGAACTTTCAAGTCAGTGGGGTCCACGGATTTGGACCCTTAGGGGTCGTTTGCTTCATGGATTTAAAAATGAGGGTTTTATAATTTAAAAACCCAAGGATTTATCAAGGATTTGAGGCATCATGGATTTGTAACAATCCTTTGTTTGTTGGGATATTTTTATCATGGATTTAAAGGTGTGAGATTTACTACTTGAAGTCAAAAATTACATTACTGCCCTTTTCTATATGTTTGACATGTTTATGATATATACACAAAACAAGGATAAAACTTCAAAATTAGCTTACTATCATTTTCTATATGTTTAACATGTTTATGATATGTACACAAAACAAGGACAATACATACTAATAAGCATAATGTTGTCACATGGACAATAATAATAAACGAGAAAATTTCGTTTTAACTTTTAACGTGACATAATCAATTACCAACTCTTTGTCCTCCTTTTCAAAAGTGACATATAACAACATATATTAGAATCGGGAGAACAAAGAATTACACGTTCCATGAAAAGGTCAAAGAAAACTAGAACACAAGAAATGATATAAAAAATCTAACTCATGTTTGCACATTAATTGAATGTTTATATTATTCATTTATTGTTAATTATAATGTATAATAGTTAAATTTAAGGGCAATCTTGGAATATTAAAAGTGCATGAGGGTATATGGGTAAAATCCCATCAAGGATTTATGCCATATTCCAAATCCCACATCAACATGTGGGATTTATAAGTCCGTGGGGTCCACGGATTTGGACCCTTAAAATCCGTGGGCCCCACGGATTTGGTCTCCAAAAAAGGTGCAAGCAAACAACGGATTGTACCTAAATCCTTGATAGTTGGTTTTTTTGTACCAAATCCATGTACCAAATCCTTGAAGCAAACGACCCCTTAAAGTTCGTGGAACCCACGGATTTGTTGCTCCTAATGAATCAAGCAAACAATGAATTTTGGACAAAACTCATGACAAATTCAAATCCATCAAACAAACAAGCCCAGTTACCTACAAGTGTTGCTTCACGAGTTTCGTGACAGAATGTGGAAACTAAAAAATGTAGGGGGAACTCTGTCTACTAAAACTCAAAAAGAAACCCCTTCTTTGAGCCTTGTTTTGCCAGTGTATGTATACTGGTATTGTGGTAAGTGCTCGTGTATTTGATACCGATCATCCTACAATCCACAGACGTATAATGATGATGAAATCCAAAAGAGGACTAATCAATCCAAGGTGAAAGCGTAACATTTTGATAATCTGTTGAGGGAGTAATTAGTAGCCTTACAGGTATTGATAATCAGTCATTCAGTCCCAGCTGTCTCGGCTTCTTCTAAAAGCTTTCTTATCTGAAAGAACCTTCTTGTTATTCAGTCTCCTCTGCTCACCTATGGCAGCTCTTTAACCCACCAAAAAATGCAAGTAACCAAACGTGTCACTTCTCTTCCATATCAAGCAGACTGCATCAATATAACTGAAAATAGCACTTACAGCTTTGCAATTTTCTTCTTTTGCTCTTCTGAAGGAGGTGGTGGAACATAAGATGCAGCTTCTATGATTGCCTGTTTAATTTAACGAGAACAAACAAGACAAATAAGCTACTTTTGCTTTGATTGTGACAGAAGTATTGCGGCAATACTCCATACCTGCAGTTTTTCCAAGGCATCATCAATATTACCCCTGAGGACAAGTTGCAATGAGATCAGTACTTCAGAATTTAGACACAAATAAGCAGAAACAACAATCAGAGGACGGAACCGACTGAAACAACAAAAGCTAATAAAAGGGGAAAGATCAGGAAGCAAAAACTAACTTCTGGGTTCTGGTCCTAGTCGAAGAAATGACAATTTCACCATCTTTGTTGATTCTGTTCTTCTCCTGCCATGCAAAAAATAAAACATAGTATCTTATCCACAGGGAAGGCTAGAGGGAAAAAAATCAAGAACAGTGCGAAGGTTAACTTTATTTACTAGTTTCATCTAACCATGCTCAACAATACCCCCAGAAGAGGTCGTGTACAGCAGATTCAAGCAATTATAGGAACCCAATTAATCGTTTCCCAGTTCTCATTGCCCTTTCTCATTTTAACTTAGCTACTGAATCTTTAGTTGGACTAAGATTCAAAACGTATGTATACTTAATAATAGGTCATCACATTGTGTTCCCTACCATAAGAGCGAAAGAAGCAGAGGCAAACCGTTTGCAATATCTTCTCCTTGATCCTGTCACTTAGCCAGTATGCATTTTTAACATTGAAGCGCATGTCCACTTTGGTGTTCACTACAAAAAACCAACAGCAAGGTAGCAAGTTTATGGGTATGTAAGCACACAAAACACATATGCTTTTGCATACAAAATTCGCCTACCAGTAACAACATAGAGCGTGGCAGGAGAAAAGGTTAAGCTGAATACCTTTGTTCACATTCTGACCTCCAGGGCCGCCACTTCTAGCGAAGCTAACAGTTACTTGGTCTGTGTATGCATAAAAATTCGTTCATTAGGACCACTAATAAGAGTGCAAATGCATAAGAATGAAAGGAGGACGATTTTAGACCATTTCAATTAAGACTGCTAAACCATATAGCAGCAACTAAGGGGCATCTTGAAGCCTAGGATAGACATTGCCGCACACCAATATAAGGCGTATTAATCATATAATAGATTAGGGTTAAGGAAATGAAATGAAATGAAATTCTAGGGTTTGGTAAATGGTCTGATGATCGATAATCTTGAATTCTTATGGATGATGCTACACAAATGAACAACCCAAGCAATCACCGACTCGAGATAGTAGCAGGGAGAAACCATAATTGGATTGAGAGATTCCTGGAAGTACCGAGAGTGATTTGAGGAGTAGGTTCGTCGCCGGCGGAGCTAGCCCGTTCCTCGGCTTCATGGAGTAGCTGCTGAACTTGAGAGAGGCGAGCGGAGACCTTCTTGTCGGAGGAGGACGCCGCCGCGCAGACGACCTTGGCGGAGCTGATTTGGCGGTGGGTAGAGTGAAGAGCGATGGAACCCAACGGCGAGAGAGACGGCGGCGTAAAAAAAGAGGAAGGGAAATGGCGGGAATTGAAAGCTCGGAGAATCATGATGGTTGTAGCTCTGGCAACGGCCATCCTTGTTGTTCCCCAATTTTTCCTCCTTCCATTTTGTGGACGTTTTATACCTCTGGTTCTAAAGACTCTTATCAAAGGGCGGTTAATGGGTTTTACACCTCTTGTTATGGGCTCTGATTTTGGGCCTGACATTTTCTCACATCCGGCCCATTGATTTTATGAATTGTGACACGAGCCCTTTTCCAATAGATATTTTATTTCTGTAATTTTTTTTTTGCAGCTTACATATTGCTCCTATTTGGCTATTTTCGCAGAATGGAACCAAAGTTTTTTTTCTTTCAAAAGATATCATATATTAATCCAAACAAATAGCTAGTTACGTCCTGAAAACTAGCCAGGTCCGGAAATCAAAGACGCAACTTTCAGTTGGATAAAAAGAGAGGGCTTTCCTAGCTACCGGGTGAGCTACCCTATTGTTTCCCAGACCTATAAACCGCACACTAAACCCAGGATGTGCACGGAAATATTGACATATCTCTTCCAAGACTGTCCCCAACCGGTTGTCGCTAGTGTCAGCTTGATTAATTTTGTCGATAATTACTTTCGCATCGCCCTCGAACTGAACTGCCGTCAAGCCACACTCCAAACACCAAATAATAGCCTCCCGAAGCACAAGCAATTCCGCCACCATTGGCTCGTCAATTTGAGGAAATTGAACCCTTTTGGCCAAAAGGAGCATCCGCCCCGGATAAAAAAGAACCATCCCACCAGCCGAGTGTGACCCCTCCTAGTGGCCCCATCCCACATGCAAACCACTCGAGAATCACCCACCTGAGTCCCTGGTTGAACCACCGGACAGGACACCCTAGGCGCCTGGTCAACTGGCAAGCCCACCCATTCCTCATACTGTTAGTGAAATTGGCGCATTAGTGCCGGGATCCTAAACTGTTTGCCTTCAAAGACAACCCAGTTACGCGATCGCCAGATCCGCCAAAGGATGGCAACCACAGCCATGAACACCGACGGTCGGTGGACCAGGGGGAGCAGGCGTTTGAGAAACAAAGGTAATGTGTGGCGGGGCAAATCCTCCCCCAAGTATTCCAATCCCGAATAGTCCCAGAGAGCCCGCGCAACCGGGCAATAAAGAAATAGGTGCTCCATCGTCTCGGGGCTATCCCAACAGACCAGGCACCGGGGCAACACAGGGACCTTTTTTCAATGAGCGCCTCAGTGGTCGGTAGATCCCGATTGAGGATTTGCCAGACAAAGACTTTCAGCTATGGAGGGATCTTAGCTTCCCACAACCGGATCCAACTTGGCTTATCCATCAAACTAACCGTTGACCGCCACCCACCCCTCCTCATGTCCAGCTCAGCAGCCAAATGGTAAGCTGATTTAACCGAGAACACCCAATCTGTTGTGTTATGCCAGATAAGTTTATTAGCCACATTCTCCCACGAAAGTGAAATATAGCCAAATGGAATCAAAGTATAACACACAAAGGTGTAAGTTTATTATAACAAGAACGAGAAATCAAACACAAGATCCAATGTTGCAAAGACAAACAAGGCAAAAAAAGAAAGTCAAGACACACTGTTGTTGTACGCAACTGGAATCAAGCACAATGGGCTATTTCTGCGCAATGTGATCCCAAACCTTTCGGACATGTCCAGCTCTTCGGGTTTCATTCCATCAGGGAGTTTCCAGTCGAAATGATAAAGCAAGTTGGCCAGTGCAAGCTGAACGATGGCCGTCCCGAAGTACATTCCGGAACACATCCTCCTTCCCGCGCCAAACGGAATGAACTCGAAGTCTCTCCCCTTAAAGTCCATCGAGCAATCCAGGAATCTCTCAGGATAGAAGGTATCCGGATCAGCCCAGTAGCTCGGATCCCTCCCAATAGCCCAGACATTAACCATGACCTTAGTTCCAGTCGGGACCATATACCCACTGATCACCACATCCTCGATACTTTCTCTCGGAACAAGCAGAGGACCCGCCGGGTGCATCCTTAGAGCCTCCTTGATGACCGCATTCATGTACTTCAAGTCGTCCAGACCTTGCTCTTCGACTTTCCCTTTCTTACCAATCGCTCCCCGAACTTCTTCCTGTGCCTTTTGAAGCACTCCAGGATTCTTCATCAGTTCAGACATGGTCCACTCCATCGTCGCAGATAGAGTTCCGCTAGCCGCCAGAAACAACTCCTAATACACATTCACGTTATTATTAGTAACTAGTTTGATAAAAAAAAAAAAAAATTTAACAAAAGCAATATAAAACTGGTAAGGGTAATTAATAACTTACGGTAATGACTGCTTTAATGTGGTCATCCGTCAATGAAGATTCCATATCATCAGTACAATTCTCCTGTAGATCAAGAAGAACATCGACAAGATCATCTGCTGCTGCCTCCTTCTCTTTCCCTCCAGCGGCGGCGGCGGCTCTTCTGGCGGCTTTGTGCTCGTCGACTATCTCCTTGATCAGAGCATCCGCTTGGTGATGGAGACGGGTGACTTTTGCTCGGAACCCGGTCAACGCGGGCAGGAATTTGACCGAAGGGTATAAATCGGAGAGGTCCAGCCCACTGAGCAGGTCCGATCCGCCACTCACCAAGCCCATGAAGGACTTGGTGTTGTCTCGCACCACGCCGAATGCTGACCTGGCAATGACGCGGTTCATCGCTGGGAACAAGACCTCGGCGAAATTGATCGTCGGGGTTTGTTGATTGGTCGATGAGTCTGCGATGCGGCAGACTAGATTGGCCGACAGCTCTTCTTCCCTGATGGAGCGGTAGGAGAGGACGCGCTTGTTGCTGAGGAGCTCCGCGGTGGCGATCTTCCGCATCAGCTTCCAGTACTCGCCGTAGGGAGTGAATGAGATGCCCTTTCCGCCGTAGTAAAAGATGTTGGCGGCCAGAATGAAGGGCCTGGAGTAGTCATGGCATATAAAATGTAACGGAATATAAAGCGCCAAATACGCGAAAAAATGGGGATTATTCCCTAAATACAAATAAAACAAAAACAAATTCCTAAACTACCATACTTTTAAAAAAATTTCTCAAAATACCTAAGTTTGGAGTGGTTCGAGTTTGAGGAACTCGAACTACTAACCGGTTCGAGTTTAGGAGACTCGATCTAGTCGTAGATCGATTATATAAGCCTCGAAAGGATCATAACTTTGTGCTCCGGAATCCGAACGTCGCAAAGTTTTTTTTTTATTTTGCATAATTTTTTGAGTACTACAACATTTACTAGGAATAAATTTTCAAAATAGGAACAGTTCTTAATATAAGGCATAGGCGGAGGCAGGGGTGTTTGCCCCTGTCCCGGGACAGGGGCAATTTTTGGGAGGGAAAAAAATAAACCCACATATATTTGTACAGATCGAATTAATCACTTACAAGTAACATAAGGATATCTTAACATTACAACATAACTCATTACTTGTTCATTAATTCACAAAAAAAATAATTAAATTACATGACACTATCATTTTATAACAACTCGTTAGGTATTATCACGATATAATGGTGTAAATAATGAATATATTTTACATTTTTTTCATAATATGAAAACTCGTTGATTATTTATAAAATATTATATATATATTCTGAATAAAGGACAGGGGTAGTTTGAAATCCTAGCTCCGCCACTGATATAAGGTGGTTTGGGAGTAAATTTAACTTTATTTTTTACATTTTCACATATATTCTGAAAATATTTCTATTATAAAAGTTGTAGTCCTAGAAAAGTTATGCGAAATGAAAAAAAAGTTTGCTACGATCGGATAACCGAGCACAAAGTTAAGGTTGTTGGAAATTTCAAAGTAGTGGTTCGAGTTCACTGAACTCGAACCACTTCAGCTCCACATGGTTCGAGGCTTATATAATCGATCTACGACTAGATCGAGTCTCCTAAACTCGAACCGGTTAGTAGTTCGAGTTCCTCAAACTCGAACCACTCCAAATTTAGGTATTTTGGGAAATTTTTATAAAAGTGTGATAGTTTAGGAATTTGTTTTAGTTTTATCTGTATTTAGGGAATTAATCCGAAAAAATGAGATGGTTGTATGATGATATGAGAATGGAATTTTTTTTAAATGTGTAAAAATATGTATACGAGTATATTTTATTGATATTAGTCGGTTATTTACAATTTTGTCTTGTTAGATATTGTTTTCAGTGAATACATGGATTGTCCAAAACTATTGTTTATATGTGTTTTATAAATTAATATATATGTACTTTGTGTAGGTTCCGCCTAAAATCAACATAAAAGAAGGATTGTGCAATCCCAACTGAATTGTTGGTTTTAGGTTTGGGGTTTTTCCCCCATTAATATCTATAGTAATATTTATTTTATATTAAAAGTAGAAGGTAAATTAACATTTCTATTTAATTAATCCATAAACAAAACAAAAAAAATTTACAAGAAAAAACTAAAAATCCAGGTCCTTTTTTCATTAATACATCTATTTGTATTATGATCCATAAGAATATAACAATTTAACTTAGGGTGGGTTTGGATCGGAGAATTTGAATTTTTTATTTGGGATTTATATCATTAGTTTTTCGACAATTTTAAGTTGTGACAAAAAAAACTCAAAATTGAAAAAAAAATCACATAAAATAAAAGAAATCCAAATTATATGAATTTAAAATACATACATATGAAAAATATATATCTATTAAATACACCCCTACACAACTTCCAAATCACGTTTAAACGTTTCATTAACTAAAATTATTATATGTACCTGGAAGCGAGAGGTGCATCATGTGTTTTCAAGACTTCCTTGGCAGCCTCCGCGGAGGAAATCACCACGTGGCGCAGTTCTCCGAGCTGGAGGTGCATCACGGGCCCGTATTTTTGGGCCAGTTCTCGAAGTCGGTGATGGGGCGGCTTTGGGCCCATCAAATGGTGGAGGTTGCCTATGATGGGGAGCTTCCATGGGCCTGGCGGTAAATTTGATACTCTTTTCGACCATCTCTTTAGAATCAAGTTGGTTACGAACAGGATGACAGTAAATGAGAGGAGGAGCTGGATAGTAGATTGAGAGAGGTATAAAGTCTGCAACTCCATGGTCACACAAGCCACCACCGTGAATTTATGAATG